TCATCCTGTCAGGTATTATATACAATTCTTGTACTACTACTATACTACTACTACCACTACTACTACCTCCACCTCTTCCTGCCTATATATAGCCGTCCTGCTCCCGCTCTGTTAGTGATTTGACTTTGTCAATGGTCCAGTCGAGGACCGTGAAACGTCGTCGTAAGCTTCTGTCTTTTATGTGCGGGTTATTTGTGAGTATCGTTCCAAGTCACGGTATTGTGCCTTTTGTTATTTTATTACATTAAGTGGGATGTTTTGACATAAGCATAAATATTTTAAAGAAGAAATAAAGAAGAAGAAAGAAGAGAGAAGAAGAAGAAGAAAAGAAGGAAGGAAGAAGAAAAAAGGAACGTAGAAGAAGAAAGAAGAAGAAGAAGAAGATGAGGAGGAGGAGGAGGAGGAGGAGGGAGGAGGAGGAGGAGGAAGGAGGAGGGAGAGAGGTGGAGGAGTGAGGAGGAGGGAGGAGGGAGGGAGGGAGGAGGGAGGAAGGAGGGAAGGAGGAAGGAGGAGGAGGAGGGGAGGAGAAGGAGGTGGAAGGAGGAGAAGGAAGGAGGAGGAGGGGAAGGAGGAAGGTGGAGGAAGAGGAGGAAGAGGAGGAGGGAGGAGGTGAGGAAGGAGGAGGAGGAAGGAGGAGAGGAAGGAGGAGGATGGAGGAGGAAGGAGGAGGTGGGAGGACGAACGGAAGGAGGAGGAAGGAGGTAGGAGGGAGGAGGAAGGAGCGAGGAAAATAAAAGGAGAGGAAGGAGGAGAAGGAGGAGGATGGATGAGGAATGGAGGAGGAAGGAGGAGGGCAAAGGAGGAGGAAGGAGGAGGAAGGAGGAAGGTGGAGGAGTGAGGGAGGAGGAAGGAGGAGGAGGAGGAGGAAGGAGGAGGAAGGAGGAGGAAGGAGGTGGAAGGAGGAGGAAGGGGAAGGAGGGAGGAAGGTGGGAGAGGAGGGAGGAGGAGGAGGAGGATGGAGGTAGAAGGAGGTGGTAAGGAGGAGGAAGGAGGAGGAAGGAGAGGAAGGAGGAGGTAGGAGGAAGGAGGAAGGAGGGAGGAGGAAGGAGGAGGAAGAGGAGGAAGGAGGGAGGAAGGAGGAGGAAGGAGGGAAGGAGGAGGAAGGAGGAAGGAAGGAGGAGGAAGGAGGAGGAAGGAGTGTGGAAGAGGAGGATGGAGGAGGAGAGGAAGAGGAGAAGGACAGGAGGAGAAGGAGGAGGAAGGAGGTGGAAGGGAGGAGGAGTGAAGGAGGAGTGAAGGGAGGAGGAAGGAGGAGGAAGGAAGGAAGGAGGAAGGAGGGAGGAGGAGGGGGAGGAAGGAGGGGGAGGAAGGGAGGAGGGAAGGAGGATGAAGGAGGAGGAGGAAGGAGGAAGGAGGGAAGGAGGATGAAGGAGGAGGAAGGAGGAGACGAGGAAGGAGGAGGAGGAGGAGGAGGAAGGAGGAGGAGGAGGAGGAAGAGGTGGAAGGAGGAGGAGGAAGGAGGAAGGAGGGAAGAAGGAGGAAGGAGGAGGAAGGAGGCGGGAGGAGGGGGGAGGAGGGGGAGGAGGGAGGAGGAGAAGGTGGGAGGAGGAGGAGGGAGGAGGAGGAGGGAGGAGGAGGAGGGAGGAGGAGGAGGGAGGAGGAGGAGGGAGGAGGAGGAGGGAGGAGGAGGAGGGAGGAGGAGGAGGGAGGAGGAGGAGGGAGGTGGAGGAGGGAGGGAGGAGGAGGGAGGAGGAGGGGAGGATGAGGAAGGGAGGTGGAGGAGGGAGGGGAGGAGGGAGGAGGAGTGGAGGGGAGGAGGAGTGAGGGGGAGGAGGAGGGAGGAGGAGGAGGGAGGAGGATTAATACTCTTGAAGACTGCCTCACTGCATGGTAGATATTAATATTTCTAGGACTGACCTTTACCCTTATAATGGAGGCAGCATGAGTGTCTCTCTCTCCGTCCAACCCCAGGATCAGACTTCAGTGCTGGCCTTGCTGGAGTGCAGATAAGTAAGCCTCACTTTATCCCTACCCTGAGCATCGCTGACAAATTTACCCTATTTTCTTCCTAGGATGTTTGTTATCATACAAAACCCACAGGGTAATTGGTCAGTGTACCATACATCAGCTCTTTCAAGACCTTGAAAAAGCTCGTTGTTACTGAATGTGGTAGTGGTTGCGGCAGTGATATATACCTTTGATAAGTACCAAGAGTTTTTCTACACCTTCGGCAAAGCCCAGCCCCATGGGCCCAGGGGCCTCTATCCTCCCCCCCCCTAGGTGCTTGCATGGTCAACTAGGCTGTTGTTGCTGGTGGCTCTCTGCTGAGGCAGCAGTGGTGGTGGCAGTGTAGGTATTTGGCTCTGTCAGGGTTTAAACCACCTGACCTAAATGGGAACATATTGTACCCATTTCTGCTACTGGAGGAACCTTTGTTTTCTTTTCAATTCCTGCCCAGATCTGGGCAGGAATTGAAAAGTTCCTTGAAAAACAACAACAAAAACAACAATTCCAGAATCATATCTACAGCTATTATTATTAGCTACAACTATTACTACATTATGTGTCACAGCTACAACTACTTTTGATACATAATGCAGGAAAAAGAAATTAACGGCAGAAATTCCATAACAATTACAATCTGAACAAACAATGCATAGTAGACTGTTTTGCTATTATTATATTTACTAAAAAATATTCAACTCTTAACCCTTTGACTGTCGCGGCCGTATATATACGTTTGCGAGGTACCGTGTTTGACGTATATATACTCATAAATTCTAGCGGCTTCAAATCAGGCAGGAGAAAGCTAGTAGGCCCACATGTGAGAGAATGGGTCTGTGTGGTCAGTGTGCACCACATAAAAAAAATCCTGCAGCACGCAGTGCATAATGAGAAAAAAAAAACTCCGACCGTTTTTTTTAATTAAAATGCCGACTTTGTGGTCTATTTTCGTATAGTATTTGTGGTTGTATTCTCGTTTTCTTGGTCTCATTTGATAGAATGGGAACCTATTATTATAGAAATGGAGGTGATTTTGATTAATTTTTACTATAAAAGAACCTGGAAATGGAGCACAAAGTCAGGCAATGTTTGATTTTTGCCGATGTTCAAAAGTGAACAAATGATGTCATTGTCCAATAAATGTCCAAATAGCCATTCTAATACGCAGTCATGAATGGGTTGATGTAATTTTTACAATTATTACAGTATTGCAGTAGTCTGCATAACAGTAAATCTTCTATTTTTTGTTTGAATAAAATTTTCAAAATAAAAAGCAAGAGTAATATCACAGGGACCTGGAGACATGACTGATGAACAAAGAAAATGTTATTTTAGAGCCAGGAATGTCTGCATTGTTCATTCTGGACCTTATTTTGAAATTGTCGTATTTTTTAATTTTCGTGAAATTGGCCAAATTGCAAATTTCTGACCATGTTATTGGGTAGTTGAAATCGGTAAATGGGCAGTTTCTTGTACTCAATCGATAGAAAAAATAGAGTTCTGAAGAAATAGTTATGAGTTTGGTTGACTGGAATAACGGAATTAGCCGAAAATAGGGCTCAAAGTGGGCGAAATTGCCGATTTTTAAATATCGCCGAAGTCGCTAACTTCGCGAGAGCGTAATTCCGTCATTTTCCATCAAATTTCGTTTTTTTGGTGTCTTTACAATCGGGAAAAGATTCTCTATCATTTCATAAGAAAAAATAATTTTTTTTTTTTTCGAATATTTTGCGACACCAGAAGCAACTTCAGGATTTGGCCCTTCGACAGTCAAAGGGTTAAATAGTACTGGAGAGTGAAATACAATATCTCACCCTTCCTTCAGAGTGCAGGAACTGCAAGTCCAGCTAAACGGTTTCCCTGAATTCCTTCATAGATGTTACCTTGCTCACTTGCTCTCACTCCAACAGCATGTCAAGTCATAATAACGGCTTGTCTCCACATACACAAGCCTGTTGGATGCTCAAGCCTCTAGCATTCAAAACCTCTTACCCTTCCTTCTTTCCTTCCTTTCACCCCAGATTTACATGCTCTTTTCATAGTTTTATTCTGTTCCATCCTATCTAAATGCCAGAACCACTTCATTACACTCAGTGTTATAAACGTAAGCTATTTAGCAATGCACTTCTAAATCTTTTTTTTTTAACACATTGGCTGTTTCCCACTGAGGCCAAGTGACCCGAAAAAGAAGAAACGCTTTCAGGGGTTAAACACTACCTGGGGAATGAAAGGTAATCAGACCATACCACGGGTGGGATTTGAACCCGCGGTCAGGGAGTCTCAAAACTCCAGACCGTCGCGTTAGCCACTGGGCCAGCTAGCTTCAATAAGATTCGTCCAACTAGGTGTATTTCTACACCATAGGAAGGTTAGCATAGGCACCACTGTGTCCAACTAGGTGTAGAAATACACCTAGTTGGACGAATCTTATTGAAGCTAGCTGGCCCAGTGGCTAACGCGACGGTCTGGAGTTTAGAGACTCTCTGACCGTGGGTTCAAATCCTGCCCGTGGTATGGTTTGTTTGCAATCATGTCATTACGATTTTGTGAGTCATGTTGACGGCTTTGAGGGGACTTGAGCTAGAGTTCGTCACAGCCATGCTAGCGGGAGATTCCTCTGTAAAAACTTGCATTTGTGGACACAGTGGTGCCTATGCTAACCTTCCTATGGTGTAGAAATATACCTAGTTGGACGAATCTTATTGAAGCAAGCTGGCCCAGTGGCTAACATGACGGTCTGGAGTTTTGAGACTCTCTGACCACGGGTTCAAATCCCGCCCGAGGTATGGTTTGTTTGCAATCGTGTCATTACGATTTCGTGAGTCATAAAGGTAATCAGGTTTAATCCAAGAAAGGGAAGGATAGCTCAAATTCCTTGGATCTAGGTCTTCACCAGCATCAAGGGATCCTGTCTGAAACCAGTAAAAGCCTGATTAATCAGGCCATCAACAGAAAAACCTGATTAACTACCAGGGCACAGAGTACAATGATTCCGGTACCCTCTACAAAGTATCTGTAATTGTTACAAAAACTTTGAGAGGGAACACTGAACTTACCCTTGAGGGTAGCAGGGTTGGAGTGGTTACGTGCATTGGAAACTGTTACTTCAGCCCCAGAATTTGAATACATGATTTTGCGCACAGCCATATTCAGTCGAATATCTAGGCCTTCACTTAGGCCTACAGGCACACAGGAATATCCATTTCGAACTGTAAAAAAACAAAATTATCCTAGTTTATCAAAAAGGGGGTAAGAAATAGGAACTTTTATTTAAAAAGATTAGTTATACAGTGGACCCCCGCTTAACGATCACCTCCCAATGCGACCAATTATGTAAGTGTATTTATGTAAGTGCGTTTGTACGTGTATGTTTGGGGGTCTGAAATGGACTAATCTACTTCACAATATTCCTTATGGGAACAAATTCGGTCAGTACTGGCACCTGAACATACTTCTGGAATGAAAAAATATCGTTAACCGGGGGTTCACTGTACACTTATAAATCTTTCTTTCAACACACCAGCCGTATTCCACTGAGACTGGGTGACCTAAAAAGAAAAACAAAATTTTTCTTTTTAAATTTAATAATTTATACAGAAGGGGTTACAAGCCCCTTGCTTCTGGCATTTTAGTCGCCTCTTAATCCACGCATGGCTAACAGAGGAATAATTCTTTTCCACTTCCCACTGGAGGTAACAGGAAATAAAGGAGAACAAGAACAATTAAGAAAATAAAAGAAAACCCAGATGAGTGTGTATGCCTATACTTATACATGCATGTGTAGTGTGACCTAAGTGTAAGTAGAAGTAGCAAGACGTACCTGATATCTTGTGTGTTTATGAGACAGAAAAGAGACACCAGCAATCCTACCATCATGTAAAACAACTACAGGCTTCCGTTTTACACTCGCTTGGCAGGATGGTAGTACTTCCTGGGGCAGATGCAGACAGTTATCAATTTTTTTTTTTTTTTCCAACAAGTCGGCCGTCTCCCACCGAGGCAGGGTGACCCAAAAAGAAAATACTTTCATCATCATTCAACACTTTCACCTCACTCACACATAATCACTGTTTTTTACAGAGGTGCCCAGAATACAACAGTTTAGAAGTATATACGTATAAAAATACACAATACAGTGGACCCCCGCTTAACGATCACCTCCAATGCGACCAATTATGTAAGTGTATTTATGTAAGTGCGTTTGTACGTGTATGTTTGGGGGTCTGAAATGGACTAATCTACTTCACAATATTCCTTATGGGAACAAATTCGGTCAGTACTGGCACCTGAACATACTTCTGGAATGAAAAAATATCGTTAACCGGGGGTCCACTGTATATCTTTTTCCTAATAAGCACATTACCAGTAGATCTGTATCTGTATTGTAACTATTTGTTGTAGTTTGTGTTTGAGTGTTTGATAGGGCGGGTAGAGCCCCGTTAGTTAGTGAAACCAGTCAGAGGATATGTCATTATCAACGAATCCATTTGAATCCAGTCACTGAATGATCCAGGCAGATCTGGATTAGGCTCACTGGTGATATTGGACTAACTCATGAAAAGGACTACTGGAAGAAAATTAAACAGAGTAGTATATGTTCAGTTTAATACAGAAAGTATAACTTGTGTATTTCGGTGCTGATGGCTTCAATATATGGAGATTACTGGAGGAATAATGATTTTCGTTGTGTATATAGCGACCGCTGATAACTACAGGTTTACCACACACTGTATATGTCACTCCATCACAATAAGTACTAACAATTATACATTGTTTATCATATTTCTACAAAACCGTACACTTTTTGTATTTCCTTGAGATTTTGCATCTCTTCGTATTTCAACAGTAATGTTTTACTCACTGGAATCACTAATTATAGGTCAGGTACACTAGCAGACCTGCATGGGAGGGTTCTGATGACTGCTGGCAACTGTTTACAACATGAACCTTTGGGCCTAACACTTCAGTTTTAAATTTCACCATATCTTTTATTATCCATATACTAGGGTACCACTGTTGTACACACTATAACACACTATAACACTATGTATAACACACTATTATCAGGGAGACTGTCTTTTCTCTGACAAAAAAAAAGTTCTAATATCATTTTCATTGGTACTCTAGGCCTAAAGTTTTCCTCTGAGAGTATGGTTATGCTTTGTTATTTTACACTGATTCTCCTTTTTTGACTCGGTAGATATTATTTTCCATTAGATTAGTTCCAAGCGCTGGAGGGATATATCTTATAAGTTCACTGGCATTGTTTAAAGTTCTAGTACGCCAGAGAGGCAATGAAAAACACGAAAGAACACGGCAGCACGGCGACACGGCGACAGTCCTTTACCAGAAGAGATTCGAACCCTGGACCTCAGTGTGTGAGCTGAGTGCACTAGCGACTGAGCTACAGGACACATACAGGACACATTGTATCTTGCAAAAAAAAAAAAGCAAGTTTGCTTGTTGGAAGTTGGAAGTAAATTTAATGAGTTATTTTAAAATTTAAAAAAAGTAGTAATTTTTAAATGCATGTTTAATGTAACAGGGAAAGGAAGCATATGTTCAAGTGTGGTAGATCTTACAATAATGAACCATCATATTTTGTTTATTGTCATTCTCACAGACTTAGGTAAACAATATTTTTTTAGGTCACTAGTCACAATACCTGTGAGGTGGCTGCCTGAAAATTCAAAATCATCATCTTGGTCCCAATGTTTGAGTGATAGGTTATTGAGAGGAGTGGCATTAGCAAACTCAAGATTAGCAAAATGCCAGTCCAGAATCTGTCTATCCCTGGAGGAGAGGTAAACATCACTTGGAGACGATGCCTCCAGCTCCTGCAACTTGTCTTCTATTTCACGCTGTTGCTCCACCAATTGATCCCATTCCTTAAACAAGAAAATTAAAACCAATAATAAATCATTTTAACATTCTTATTTTGCCACAATGATTATCTCGCACTAAGGCAGGTATCACATGAAAAACATTCACCATCATTCATTTATTAGCTGTCTTGCAGAAGTGAATAGACACTGAAAATTAAAATGACCCTCTGAACTGCAATATCTGCACCCTTCCTTCATTGTACTTCCCACCTCCAGGACTTAAGTCTACTTAACTGATTTTCCTGAATCCCTTCATAAATGATACTTTGTTCACACTCCAACAACGTATCACCTCATAAAAACTACTTATCTCATTTCAATCAAACACACTCACACAAGCTTGCAGAGAGTCAAGCTCCTACCAATCAAAACTTCCTTCACTCTCTTTCTTCAGTCTTCCTTGGGATGGCACTTAACCATCCATCCATCCACCCTGGATTTATAGACCCTCTTGGGTATATAAATCCAGAGTGGATGGAAGGATGGTTAAGGGTGGATGGAGGATGGATTTATACATCCTCTTGGGTGTATAAATACATCCTCTGTAAATACCCTAACCACCTCAACAACCCTTCCACTCCCCTCTGTGTATTTACAATATACAAAAAGGATCTAACTTCTGTTTACCTTACAAGCATTCTGTAGTTCACGTAGTTTGACCCGGTACACAAATTCATTTGTGATGTTCCGGGAGTTTCTCTTTTCACTTAACTGGCTGTGTTCCTTATGTAATAATGCAATTTTGTCATGAAGGGCAAGGAGCTGTTGAGAAACAAAAGAGAGATAATATTATATCTATACTAATGCATTCAATTATGTATTTTGTATGTACACAAATAACCCGCACATACGAAAAAGAAATTTGTGACATTTTGGTCTGACTTGAACCTAATATATTAACTAATCTGAGTCTAGTTAATGGTCAGAGTCAGACAGAAACATCATCATAAGTTTCTCTCGCCTATGCCTGGGTTATTTGTGTATTGTTCCAGTCAGTCACAGTATTGTACCTTTTCGTTCTTTCTTAATTTTGTTTAAGTTGACAGTTAGGGTGAGGCTTCTAAACTTCTAAGAAGTGACTGTTCTTCATACACATTAATAAAATATCAATGAAGGCCACACCAGTTAGTTACCATCCACATTAGTCCACTAAATACAGTGGACCCCGGTATTCGATGGCATCGGTATTTGATAAATCCGGTATTCGATGCATTATATCGCAAAAAAATTTCCTCAGTATTCAATTGAAAACCCGGTATTTGATACGATTCGTACGATACCTGTCCACGTGTGGCCTGAACTGCCCCGTGTGTGCCAGTGTTTACAAGCCAGCCAGTGTGCGCGCATCTAAGGATACATTCGGTACATTCCATATTATCCATATTATCACTGTGTTTGGTGCTTGTTTCTGCAAAATAAGTCACCATGGGCCCCAAAAAAGCTTCTAGTGCCAACCCTGTGGTAAAAAGGGTGAGAATTAGTATGGAAATTAAGAAAGATTTTGAAGGGTTTGGGGCTAACCCTGAGAAGCCTATGCCAGTTGTGGACTCCATTGTGCCTACTTCAAAAATTAAGGAAATGTGTGCACAGTGGGTTGAAGTGCAAACCTTTATGGATGAAAATCACCCTAACACAGCTATTGCAAGCCTTGCTGGTGACTTTTACAATGACAATGTTGTGGCCCATTTTAGACAAATCGTAAAGGAACGGGAGGTACAGAGCTCTATGGACAGATTTGTTGTGCGACAGAGGTCCAGTGACTCTCAAGCTGGTCCTAGTGGCATTAAAAGAAGAAGGGAAGTAATCCCGGAAAAGGACTTGCTACCTCAAGTCCTAATGGAAGGGGATTCCCCTTCTAAACACTAACATCTCTCCCCTCCTCCCATCCCATCAATCATCACCAGATCTTCATTAAAGGTAAGTGTCAATTATTTTATTGTTATTGTAATTATTCTATTGCATTAAACTTAATATTTCATGTAGAAAATTTTTTTTTTTCATACTTTTGGGTGTCTTGCACGGATTAATTTGATTTCCATTATTTCTTATGAGGAAAATTTATTCGGTTCTCGATATTATCGGTATTCGATGAGCTCTCATGGACGAATTAATATCGAATACCAGGGGTCCACTGTACTCATCTTCCTGGGCATATTTGCTATTTTGCAAATAAAGAGTACAAAATTTTAGAGCTATGAGTTAATGCTTTCTTAAGTAAATTGTAATAAAAATCATAAAATATATTATGGGTGATCCTATTGGGAATTTTCTGAACAAAAATTGAACAAATACGGTATTATAATGGAAAATGTCTGCTATAATAATTTCTATAACAATTTAAAATGGGAATGCACCACCAATCTGACGAGTAAGACACATGCAATTTTTTCTAACATGCCAGCCATCTCCCACCAAGGCAGGGTGACCTAAAAAGAAACACTTTCATCATCACTCTATCACTATCTTGCTAAAGGTGCTCATTTACTATGATACAGATGTTACTCTAAACAGCCAATATCCCAAACCTCTCCTTTAAAGTGAAAGCATTGTACTTCCCACCTCAGCTTCTATGAATCCCTTCATAAAATATTACCATGCTCACACTCCAACAGCACATCAGCTCTCCTGCGCTGTAGGCACAATGAAGATACCTAATGGCATACTCATCAACATATCAGCATTGTATACTATTTATAATATGACACAATAATTTTATAATATTTTATTTTCATATAGTCGGACTTAGAGTCCTGGAAATGGGAAGTACAATGCCTGCACTTTAAAGGAGGGGTTTGGGATATTAGCAGTTTGGAGGGATATGTTGTGTATCTTTATACGTATATGCTTCTGAACTGTTGTATTCTGAGCACCTCTGCAAAAACAGTGATAATGTGTGAGTGTGGTGAAAGTGTTGAATGATGATGAAAGTATTTTCTTTTTGGGGATTTTCTTTCTTTTTTTGGGTCACCCTGCCTCGGTGGGAGACGGCCAACTTGTTGAAAAAAAAAAAAATTATAATGTGCTAACCTTAGGTCTAGTAATATGGCAATAAAATCTCTCACGGGACCACAATATTTCCAACAAATGAGTTACGTTCCTGGAAGCCCAGTAATACCAAATCCCCAAAACTCTAATTTTCAACACGATCGTGCTAAAACAAAACCAGCCAATAATTATAGTTATAGTCTTCTGGCTCCACCAAGAGGTGGAAACAGGAAAGAACTGTCACTCAGTATAGGTTCTCAAGCTGAAAGCAAGTTGACACAGTATTATTATTATTAAGTGGTAGAGAATTCTTCCTCTGTAAGTCATGCATGTTGTAAGAGGTGACTAAAATACTGGGAGAAAAGGGCTAATAACTCCTTCTCCTGTATACATTACTAAATTTAAAAAGAAAAACTTTTGTTTTTCGTTTTAGGTCACCCTGCCTCGGTGAGATACAGCCGGTTGTTGAATTGTTATTATTATTATTATCATTATTATTATTATTATAATCATGGGAAGTGTATGCTTGAGACAGTGGAGAACTTAGAGCTGGCCTCTTCCTCTCCACACTGACAATCTTGCACTAAGTTTGTGCTCATGAGCAGACCACAAAAGGACACAAATATAGTGCTGGTGTATCATGACTGTTTCCTATAAATGATATCTGTTATTGTTATGAGTATCGTAGAGCTTCGGCAGAACACTGTAGCACTGTGAGCTAGAGAATTTTTTGGTACTGATCAAATATCAGTCATACCTCTTTATATACACATGACTCAGGTTGGCAGTAGGTTGGTAGACAGCAACCGCCCAGGGAGATACTACCGTCCTACCATGTGAGTGTAAAACAGAAGCCTGTAATTGTTATACATGATGGTAGGATTGCTGGTGTCTTTTTTCTGTCTCATAAACATGCAAGATTTCAGATACGTCATGCTAGTTCTACTTACACTTAGGTCACATTACACTTGCATGTATTAGCATGTATAAGCATATATATATATATATATATGCTTATACATATATATATATATATATATGCTTATACATATATATATATATATATATACTTATATATATATATATATATATACATATATATATATTATATATACTTATATATATATATATATATATATATATATATATATATATATATATATATATATATATATATATATATATATATATATATATATATATATATATATACACACACACACAAACACACACACACACACACACACACACACACACACCCATCTGGGTTTTCTTCTATTTTCTTACTAGTTCTTGTTCTTGTTTATTTCCTCTTATCTCCATGGGGAAGTGGAACAGAATTCTTCCTCCGAAAGCCATGCATGTTGTAAGAGGCGACTAAAATGCCGGGAGCAAGGGGCTAGTAACCCCTTCTCCTGTATAAATTACTAAGTGTAAAAAGAAAGACTTCTGTTTTTCTTTTTTAGGTCACCCTGCCTCGATGGGATACGGCTGGTTTGTTAAAATAAAAATAAAAAATGCCATATTAGCAAAGCACTCTAAAGCAAGTGCCGTATTAACAAGGTATGCCTGTATTAAAAACAAAATAATAGTCCTTACCTTGTTCAAGACAGTTTTAAGCTTCTCCTGAAGTTTCACTACAGTCTTCCAATGAGTCACTTGCTTTTCTTTGACATTTTTCTCTTGAAGACTTTAAACATGAAAGAAAAAAAACCTTACATTAAATAAGGAAAACCTATAATTTTTAATATATTATATAAAAAAAAAAAGACAGCCCAGACTTTTCGAATTTAGAACTAACTCCTGGAACGGATTAAGTTCGATATTTGAAGTTCCACTGTATACATTGGACCCGCGACCAGCGATGGCATCGATTAACGATAAATCTGACTAGCGATATATTTTAACGCAAAAATTTTGCCTCAACTAGCGCTTAAAAACCCGACCAGCGCTATTCGTTCCGTACCATACGCGTCCACTTTGGCCTGAGCGCGCCTCACTTGTCCCTTGGGTGTCAGTGTTTACAAGCCAGCCAGCCATCGCGGTCACTTCCAAACATACAACAACTGGAACACTTCATATTATCACAGCCTTTGTAGTGATTGCACCTGCAAAATAAGTCACCATGGGCCCCAAGAAAGCTTCTAGTGACAACCCTACAGCAAAAAGGGTGAGAATTACTATGGAGATGAAGAAAGAGATCATTGCTAAGTATGAAAGTGGAGTGCGAGCTCTCTGAACTGGTCAGGTTGTATAATAAACCCCAATCAACCATTGCTACTATTGTGGGCAAGAAAACGGCAATCAAGGAAGCTGTTCTTGCCAAAGGTGAAACTATGTTTTCGAAACTGAGATCGCAAGTACTCGAAGATGTTGAGAGACTGTTATTGGTGTGGATAAACGAAAAACAGATAGCAGGAGACAGCATCTCTCAAGCGATCATATGTGAAAAGGCTAGGAAGTTGCATGACGATTTAATTACAAAAATGCCAGCAACTAGTAATGTGAGTGAATTTAAGACCAGCAGAGGTTGGTTTGAGAGATTTAAGAAGCGTAGTGGCATCCATAGTGTGATAAGGCATGGTGAGGCTGCCAGTTCGGACCACAAATCGGCTGAAAAATATGTGCAGGACTTCAAGGAGTACATAGACAGTGAAGGACTGAAACCTGAACAAGTGTTTAATTGTGACGAAACAGGCCTGTTTTGGAAGAAAATGCCAAGCAGGACCTACATTACTCAGGAGGAAAAGGCACTCCCAGGACATAAGCCTATGAAAGACAGGCTTACTCTGTTGATGTGTGCCAATGCTAGTGGTGATTGCAAAGTGAAGCCTTTATTGGTGTATCACTCTGAAACTCCCAGAGTGTTCAGGAAAAACAATGTCCTCAAGGCTAATTTGTGTGTGCTGTGGAGGGCAAACAGTAAGGCATGGGTCACTAGGGACTTTTTCTATGACTGGTTACACCATGCATTTGCCCCCAATGTGAAAAATTACCTAATTGAAAAGAAATTAGACCTTAAGTGCCTCCTGGTATTAGACAATGCTCCTGGTCATCCTTCAGACTTGGCAGAGCGACTTTCTAGGGACATGAGCTTAAGTAAGGTGAAGTTTTTGCCTCCTAATACCACTCCTGTCCTGCAGGCCATGGACCAGCAGGTTATTTCCAACTTCAAGAAACTGTACACAAAAGCTATGTTTGAAAGGTGCTTTGTAGTGACCTCAGAAACTCAACTGACTCTAAGAGAGTTTTGGAAAGATCATTTTACCATCCTCAATTGTGTAAACATTATAGGTAAGGCTTGGGAGGAAGTGACTAAGAGGACATTGAACTCTGCTTGGAAAAAACTGTGGCCAGAATGTGTAGACAAAAGGGATTTTGAAGGGTTTGAGGCTAACCCTGAGAATCCTATGCCAGTTGAGGAATCCATTGTGGCATTGGGGAAGTTCTTGGGGTTGGAGGTTAGTGGGGAGGATGTGGAAGAGTTGGTGGTGGAGGACAGTGAAGAACTAACCACTGATGAGCTGCAAGATCATCTTGAACAGCAAGAGGGCAGACCTGAGGAAACTGCTTCGGAGGAGGGGAGAGAGAAATTGAAGAAGTTGCCTACTTCTAAGATAAAGGAAATGTGTGCAAAGTGGCTTGAATTGCAAACCTTTTTTGATGAAAATCACCCTGACACAGCTACTGCAAGCCGTGTTGGCAACCTGTACACTGACAATGTTGTGAACCACTTTAGGAAAGTCATAAAGGAATGAGAGGTACAGGTATCTATGGACAGATATGTTGTGCGACAGAAGTCCAGTGACTCTGAAGCTGGTCCTAGTGGCATTAAAAGAACAAGGGAAGTAACCCCAGAAAAACACTTGCTGCCTCAAGTGCTAATGGAAGGGGATTCCCCTTCTAAACACTAAGAAGATCAACGCTCTCCCCTCCTCCCATCCCATCAATCATCACCAGATCTTCAATAAAGGTAAGTGTCATGTAACTGTGCATGTAATCTTCAGTTTGTGTGTATTAAAATTAATATTTTATGTGGTAAAAAAAATTTTTTTTCAATACTTTTGGGTGTCTTGCACGGATTAATTTGATTTCCATTATTTCTTATGGGGAAAATTAACTTGACTAACGATAATTTTGACTAACGATGAGCTCTCAGGAACGGATTAATATCGCTGGTTGAGGGTCCACTGTATTTATTTAGTGATCTTTTTTTTGTGAAGAATGAAAGTTACAATACCACTGCTGGAACAACTAACCTCTCCCCCCCCCCCATTAAAAAACAATAACTGACAATGTTTCAGTCTATCCTGGACTTGATAACAGTCTAGCATGAACCAAAATACTGTTCATAAAGAACAAAAAGTCACAATACCATGACTGGAACAATATACAAATAACCCACACATAGGAGAAAGAAATTACTGTACTACTACTACTACTAGGTCCACTACCAGCATTATCTCTACCACTGCTATCTCCACTTCCTTCTTCCTGTCTTTGTCCCATCCCTGCTCTCCTCTCGTATATACACTGGCTCCCTTACCTTCATGTGTTAGTGTGTTACTAGTTAATGGTCCAACTTAGACCAAAACATCGTCGTGAGTTTCTTTCTCCTATGTGCGGGTTATTTATGCAATGCAAAATACTGTCTAGTTTTCATTTATAAATAAGTATACAAGACATGCTGTAGGGCGAAATGACAGAAGTTTGTTGGATTATGTATTGGTAGATAAAAGACTGTTGAGCAGACTTCAGGATGTACATGTTTATAGAGGGGCCACAGATATATCAGATCACTTTTTAGTTGTAGCTACACTGAGAGTAAAAGGTAGATGGGATACAAGGAGAATAGAAGCATCAGGGAAGAGAGAGGTGAAGGTTTATAAACTAAAAGAGGAGGCAGTTAGGATAAGATATAAACAACTATTGGAGGATAGATGGGCTAATGAGAGCATAGGCAATGGGGTCGAAGAGGTATGGGGTAGGTTTAAAAATGTAGTGTTAGAGTGTTCAGCAGAAGTTTGTGGTTACAGGAAAGTGGGTGCGGGAGAGAAGAGGAGTGATTGGTGGAATGATGATGTAAAGAGAGTAGTAAGGGAGAAAAAGTTAGCATATGAGAAGTTTTTACAAAGTAGAAGTGATGCAAGGAGGGAAGAGTATATGGAGAAAAAGAGAGAGATTAAGAGAGTGGTGAAGCAATGTAAAAAGAGAGCAAATGAGAGAGTGGGTGAGATGTTATCAACAAATTTTGTTGAAAATAAGAAAAAGTTTTGGAGTGAGATTAACAAATTAAGTAAGCCTAGAGAACAAATGGATTTGTCAGTTAAAAATAGGAGAGGAGAGTTATTAAATGGATAGTTAGAGGTACTGGGAAGATGGAGGGAATATTTTGAGGAATTGTTTAATGTTGATGAAGATAGGGAAGCTGTGATTTCGTGTATAGGGCAAGGAGGAATAACATCTTGTAGGAGTGAGGAAGAGCCAGTTGTGAGTGTGGGAGGACTTCGTGAGGCAGTAGGTAAAATGAAAGGGGGTAAAGCAGCTGGGAGTGTTGGGATAAAGATAGAAATGTTAAAAGCAGGTGGGGATATAGTTTTGGAGTGGTTGGTGCTATTATTTAATAAATGTATGGAAGAGGGTAAGGTACCTAGGGATTGGCAGACAGCATGCATAGTTCCTTTGTATAAAGGCAAAGGGGACAAAAGAGAGTGCAACAATTAGAGGGGGATAAGTCTGGCGAGTATACCTGGTAAAGTGTATGGTAGAGTCATTATTGAAAGAATTAAGAGTAAGACGGAGAATAGGATAGCAGATGAACAAGGAGGCTTTAGGAAAGGTAGGGGGTGTGTGGACCAGGTGTTTACAGTGAAACATATAAGCGAACAGTATTTAGATAAGGCTAAAGAGGTTTTTGAGGCATTTATGGGTTTGGAAAAGGCGTATGGCAGGGTGAATAGGGGGGTAATGTGGCAGATGTTGCAGATGTATGGTATAGGAGGTAGGTTACTGAAAGCAGTGAAGAGTTTTTACGAGGATGGTGAGGCTCAAGTTAGAGTATGTAGGAAAGAGGGAGATTATTTCCCAGTAAAAGTAGGCCTTAGACAAGGATGTGTGATGTCACCGTGGTTGTTCAATATACGTATTTATAGATGGGGTTGTAAGAGAAGTAAATGCGAGGGTCTTGGCAAGAGGTGTGGAGTTAAAATTTTGATAATCACACATAAAGTGGGAGTTGTCACAGTTGCTCTTTGCTGATGACACTGTGCTCTTGGGTGATTCTGAAGAGAAGTTGCAGAGGTTGGTGGATGAATTTGGTAGGGTATGGAAGGAGAAAAGAGAATATGAATGTGTAAATGCAAGAATTATGTGGATTAAAGTAGGTTGGTAGACAGCAACCACCCAGGGAAGTACTACCGTCCTGCCAGATGACTGTGAAACAAAAACCTGTAACTGTTTTGCATGATGGTAGGATTGCTGGTTTTCTTTTTCTGTCTCATAAACACGCTAGATAGCAGGGATATCTTGCTACTCCTACTTGCACTTTGGTCACACTTCACAGACACGCACATGCATATATATATATACATACATCTAGGTTTTTCTCCTTATTCTAAATAGCTCTTGATTCATTTTATTTCTTCTATGTCCCCATGGGGAATGGAAAGAATCTTCCTCCGTCAGCCATGC